GTCTCCTCTCCGCCAGCCGGCCGGAGCCGCCCGCTCTGCGCGGGGAGCAGGGAATCGGCCGGATTCTGCTCCGTGACCGCCGGCTGCCCGCTCCCAGTCCCTTCAGGAGTCAGTCCCGTCTCCAAACCACTGGGTCCCCGCTCAGTCATTCCCCCGCAATGCTCCAGTTCCCCTCCGGGAATCCCCCAGCCCTGTGCAGCTGTCACGCCTAGCAAACCGCTGCCTGTTCCGCTCGCAGCCGAGAACAAGCTGCACTGCTGAACTGGCCCTTTTTTGGGTGCGCAGCAGAATGGGGAAGGGGAGAGGAGCAAAGATTTGTGACCCTCTGTGAGAACATAAGAATGGCCAGACTGGGTCAGAACAAAGGTCCTTCTAGCTCAGGGATGGGCAATAAACAGCCTGCAGGCTTGACACCATTCACAGGTGCTGTGTCTAGACTGGCCAGTTTTTCCGGAAAATCAGCCGCTTTTTCGGAAAAACTTGCCAGCTGTCTACACTGGCCCTTTTGCGCAAAAGGGCCAGTGTAGACAGCTGGCAAGTTTTTCCGGAAAATCAGCCGCTTTTTCGGAAAAACTTGCCAGCTGTCTACACTGGCCCTTTTGCGCAAAAGGGCCAGTGTAGACAGCTGGCAAGTTTTTCCGGAAAATCAGCCGCTTTTTCGGAAAAACTTGCCAGCTGTCTACACTGGCCCTTTTGCGCAAAAGCGCGTCTAGATTGGCACGGACGCTTTTCCGCAAAAAGTGCTTTTGCGGAAAAGTGTCCGTGACAATCTAGACGCTCTTTTCCGAAAATGCTTTTAATGGAAAACTTTTCCGTTAAAAGCATTTCCGGAAAATCACGCCAGTCTAGACGTAGCCGGGCTGTTTTATTACCTACCCCAAATTTAGCCTAATCTGTCTGCCAACCGTGGCCAGTGCCAGGTGCTTCAGAGGGAACGAACAGGACAGAGAATCATCAAATGATCTATCCCTGGTTGCCCATGCCTAGCTTCTGGCAACAGCTTGTCATGATTTACAGGACTCATACTCTCACTTCATACAATCTTTGAGACCAACCCCTTTCAGTATGACATCCCTTCTCCGGGGAGCCACTGTTTCTTGGCTAGTAAGCTGTAGGCCCCCCGCCTCTTGGAACTGTACCTCTCTGAATCTTCAGCACAGCTACCTCTCACGTGAGCTGTCTCAGGAAGGCCACTTGTTCTGGACCCCCATAAGCAGAGAGAATAATGCAATGAGTGTAAAGCAGAAGGGTTCCCTGAGCAGCTGAATTAGAGCCTGCAAAAGCTACGGGCTGACCGGGTGATAGCCTGGGGCGCCCGATTGTAAGGAGCGCCGTGCAGTGCTGCTGAGCCGGGTGGGGCCAGGGCCGCGCAAGTGCTGCACTCCCGGGGTGCAAGAATGAGCTGCGCGCCTGGGGGCAGCACCACGCGCCCAAGTTCCGGGGCCTAAGGATGGATCGGGCTGGCTCTGATCTGAATCCAGCTCAGGAAACTCTCTAGACTCAAAGCCTAGCAGCCCTCAGCATAATACATCTAGGTCTCTCCTGCATTTGGGGGGATGGGAGGTTCTGGCTGCTCTCTCTCCCCAGTCCAGAAGCCCCCTCCTTTCAGCTGATCATCCTATATCATTCATCACCTCCAATTACTCTGCCCCTGTCCTTCATCTATGGTCCAGGGTAAACATGTTGCCTGGACCTCCTCCTTTCCTTTCTTTGTTCTCCATTGGCTGGAACCAGCTGTTCAGATCATCTCTCCACAGTCCTTTTGCCTCCCACTGGCCACCCTCTTCGGAGTTAGACATGCATTAAGCACTACTTGATCTGGGTCCATCACCTCGGCTGTCATCACGTTAGCCCCATATAGGCAATGAGCCCACTGCTTTGGTTACAGTAACAGAGTCAGTGTGAACCACCTTTCCCGCATGCAGGGCCACTGTTCCACACAGATCTAAGGATCTGGCTATGGACAAGCAGGTAACCCGAGCTTCATAGATCTTTGCTTTTGCTACTTTCAAAGGGAAAATTCCCTCCTCACTGTCTGAGCCATTTACATGATCATTGGCTCCTGCCCTCTCCAACTTTGGATCGCTGGATCCTGTCTTAAAGAGACATGGTCATTTTCCAGCAGTATGGCAAAGCTCACATGCTGTAGGACACCAGCCCCACCCCTGCCATCCTTCCTGTGTCTGCACTGGACTCTGAGCCATAGGCAAGATGAATGCCTTTATGTTTGGGACCTTCATGCAAATTACATAGTCTCTCTGCATCCAAGTTGCACCACACTGACAAGAGTTCTTTCAGCCCTGGAATCTCTTCACTCTGTGAATGTTTCCCTGTTGATCACCACCTTCTGCTCCCATTGTAGATCAGAGGTGCCAATGCCCAGCTTGGAGTGGAAGTCCGATGCCATTCCTCCCTCTTACCAGTTGGATCACTGGAGAGGGGCAAGCCCCTGTGTTCACACCTCTCTCTGCAGCAGGAGTGCCAGGCATGTGGAGAGGGGCAAGCTTCCATGCGCCGAACACTACTCCCTGGCAGGAGCACTGGGCAAACGAAGCTGGACAAACTCCCATGCTCCAACCTCACTCCCTGGCAGAAGTGCCAGGCAGAGTGAGGAAAT